GGATGCACTTCGGCCAGTCGCAGGCTTGCTTGCCTGCTCTTCCTCCTCTCTGGCCGCCCCTAGAAAAATCTCACCATTCGAGAAGCCCAGTGCCATGGTCAAGAAGGTCCGTGCGGAGTTGCAGCTCGAGGGACAGGGCACCACGGTCCTGACACCAGCAGGTAAGTAAAAGCCAGCCATGTCCCAATTTTATTTGTGCCGATCCTCAATCAGGCATTGACTTCTCCTCGGCACCTTGAGCATGAAGGGATGAGCTCAAGAACCTGGACTCGGTTCCTCCTGCTCGGCGAGTTCTCAGGTACGCGGAGAGGAACATCGACTTGTTTTTGCCCAAAATTCCAGTCTTTTCAAATTAAATTCTTGGATCATTAGAATCTTCGACTTGCCTCTAAATATTGCTCACCCTCTCTGTTGATTCGTCTTGCATTCCCAAAGCCTGCTTGTTTCCCTGACCACCCCCAAAAGGGATTCGAGACGCCCGCGAGTTGTTCCTTAAAATGTCCACTTCTGAATATTTCCTATAGCGGATTCTTGCCTTTTGTCTCTATCAATCAAGCTTCCTGTATTAGCTGGTCCAGCTCATGTGCTCATTTATCATGTACTCATTTAAGATCTCGACTCAGACTAATTTACATTAGGTTCTCCTTGTGGTTTAGAATTTTAGTTTTTTTCCTCCTTTTTCAGTAACATCCCTATGGTGAAGATCCAGGAGCTACATCTGCTCAGAGGCATGTAGAATGGTGTGGTCTGTGAAGATTTGTTTAATAATAGTTGACTGAACATTCTCTATCGTTGGTTAATACAATCTCTAAGTTCTAATGAACTAATCTAGCAGCAGCAGTAATACTCCTAGAAAATTGACATGTATAATGTTTTTTCTTACCTGAAACAATTATATTGCCTTTTTTCTACAATGTAATTTGGTTGTTTTAGTATGCATATATTTCAGTTTTAGTATGTATATACCTGAATGTTGTTTTGTGGATTATTCGTTAAAAGTACCATTCACACGCATCCTATACACCTGTATAATTGTGAGAAACTGCAAATGCGCAAAAGCTTATCCAGAGGTCCACGCAATTGCTATGGCAAAATAGGTGGATCAGTGGCATATAGACTTTAGTATCTTTAGATATTCTTGCTTGAATATTTTGAATTTTTTTCTCTTCAGGATTTTTCACCGACTGACTGAACATGTGTGTGCTATTGAAATTCCATTCAGCGTGTTGAGAAGTCTTCAGTGGTCTGAAATGGTAGCAGCCATAAACAGAGCACCTATGGGATACAAATGGCCATCAAGTGAGAAGGCAAGAACCACTCTTCTAGATGCATGCAAGAGAAACGTGGAGCAGGACCTAGGGCGAGTTACAAATACATGGTACTATACTTTGTCATCTTCTTTTCATTACAAGTATTTCTGATTTTAATACTATGTGAGGTTACTTCTTGGCTAAAGGGCATTGTTGTTTCCCTTGTGAAATGATAGAACCTATGGTATGGTGTATTCATTGCTTCTCACTATATTTTCACAATATTGCATATGAAAATTTCTTTATAGAATCAATGGATTAGCTTGCTTGGTCGGCCGGCGCGGTCCCTGGCTCAGAGGCCGGCACGGGGTGGTCCAGCAAGAGGAGTGCAGTCCCCTGGTGGTCCAGCTTGAGCCAGCGAGAGGAGCGGGCGTGTGGGACGATGTGCGTGCGGTTGCCTCGCCCTCTCCTTTCCTGGCGCGAGAGGAAGAAAAAAATTATTCACTTCATTATTATTAGATTACGGTAGTCGATAAATGATTAGTTGATTCTCTTCAGTTGTTGATATTGTTGCAGCGTACAACGTTTAAATGAAGCAAGTACTTGATATATTGTGTAATTGCAGCAAACAAGTCTGTTGACTCTTTTCAGTAGTTGTATTTTGAGCTTGAGGGCAATGGTGGATTTAGCCTTTTAGTTTTTTGATTTGTTTGACTATGTTCTATCGTAGCGTTAGCACGAGCATTATACTAATCTGACACAAATCTAGTTTGGCTTTAGCTGCAACTAGAAATGTCGTATCCAGGGTTTTGGATTTGCTATTGAGTTTTTTTTTATTTGTCTCCGCCGAAAACACTGAAATTCTTGATATATGTGCCAAAATTGCTTTTTATTTGCCTCAGCCGAAAATTTTGAAACTTCTGATATTTGTGCCAGAATTGCGGTCATATGTTAATAGAGATTTCCATAATATACTAATCTTTTAGTATTTTGAATCATGCTAAGTACTTCCTCCGTTGTAAGCTGTAAGTCATTCCTGCACCATAAGATATAAATAGGTGTTACTTGTGATCCCCTACTGACAACTGATCGAAGTATACAATGCGAAAGTAATAAAGCTTCGCACTAACCGGATATATATGATATGAACCTCATGAAAGGTATGCTAGGTACGCGAGCAACGTCTACACAATATCCTATGCCACTACTATAAAAATGATTTCGCGAAACACACTTTTTATTTTTAGAGGCGGACAGATTTGTTGTGTGTCTCGTAAAATACCCGGCGACTAATGAAGACGGTTGTTTTATTTATGAAGACACATAAAAATGACCACCTTGCAAAATCGATTTACGGAGGCGGTCGTTTTATTTATGGAGGCTCTCAATAAATGACCGCCTCTGAAATTGGATTTACGGAAGCAGACATCTTAAGAGAACCGCCTCCAAAAATGATCTATTTTCGGAGGCGCCTGTCTCATAAATCTATTTTCCTGTGTGGACCTCTTAAGAGGCCCGTCTGGGAAATTGGCCCGAGTATAAATAAACCTGTAAGGCCTGTTAGCCATGTTATTATGTATATATAGCCAGAGTTAGGGTTTGGAGGCCTCATCCCCCTCTCTCACACACAATTGTCTCTCTCTCTCAAGTTCGTTCTCTCAAGTATAGAGTTAGGGTTTGGTAGCGCTCTCTCTCTTCTCTCCCGGCAGTGGCGGCAGCGGCTAGATGAGGCGGCGCTCCTCCCTCTGCTCCTCCCGCACAGCGCTCCTCTCCCTCGTGCTCCTCCGGCGCGCGCGGGTTGTGGCTGGCTACTTGGCGGCGGATCGAGCTCCCTCAGCGGTGGATCGAGCTCCCCTAGCGGCAAATCGAGCTCCCCCGGCGGTGGATCGACCTCGTGGCGGGGCTCGCGGGGGTGGCGCGGCCACCTGTGCTTGCGGGGGTGCGGCCGCCTGTGCTCGCGGCCGTCCAGATCCGACGAGCAACGGCGATGCTCGTATGGGCTTGGAGGGCGTTGTTGATGGGCTCAACGGGCCCAATCAACGGGCTTGCTGGATTCTTTTTGTTTTTTATTGATTAACTCAAATGGGTCTATGAACCGCCTCGGTAGTTCCTGAATAACGCAGACGATTTGAGGCAGGCGGACGGGATGTCGGCCTGCGTTAACTGTTTTTGACAGCGTGGAAAAATCATACTGTAGTATATCAGACTCACATGTGACCTGCCATATATATTTGCCTACATATTCGCCGACGGTTCTAGACTTTTGACCTCGATCCATCAGGTGCCTGTGCCTCGGCCCGCGTACGTGAACCGATCGATCTCGGCCGGTCAGTAGTCTCGGACTGCATGCAGGTGCCGTTCGTAGACGTCGTCATCGTCGGTCTGCTAGCTCCTCGAGAGAAACGTGCGGCAGTGGTCGCTGGTTGTGTCACGGGGCACACGTGCGAACGCCGGGGCCGGCCGCCGGGCCGGGAACGATCGACGAACACGGGCGGTGGATTGTAGACGGACGGACGAGTGGTGAATGGTGATGGATGGAGTACGGAACGGATGGAGGCAGCCGCGTCGACGTCGTCGGAGCACGCGGACGCGGCCGGCGGGCCCGGGCGGGGATGGATCATGGATGGATGGATGGTCGAGACCCCTGGTGTGCAGTGCAGGAGTGGCACTCGTCCACATGCATGTGGCGGCCTGTTCGTTTGCTCGTAAACGATCGTAAATTTCTAGCCGAGAACAGTGTTTTTCTCTCACACCAAACCAGCCAGCAGTAAATAATCCACGATACGATACGCGTCCGCGTGCTCCGACGACGTCGACGCGGCTGCCTCCATCCGTTCCGTACTCCATCCATCACCATTCACCACTCGTCCGTCCGTCTACAATCCACCGCCCGTGTTCGTCGATCGTTCCCGGCCCGGCGGCCGGCCCCGGCGTTCGCACGTGTGCCCCGTGACACAACCAGCGACCACTGCCGCACGTTTCTCTCGAGGAGCTAGCAGACCGACGATGACGACGTCTACGAACGGCACCTGCATGCAGTCCGAGACTACTGACCGGCCGAGATCGATCGGTTCACGTACGCGGGCCGAGGCACAGGCACCTGATGGATCGAGGTCAAAACGTGCTGATGGACGCATGTGTGCCTGAGATGGACGGGCTCCGCGACCGCGTGAAGTGGATGTGGATGCCATCGATTAGCGGGCCGTGGCTGTGGCTGCCTGCCCGCGGTGTGTATCACACCTTCACACCGCATCGGAGCTGGCCGCAGCCCGCGCCCCGCAGGTTGCAGGTGCAGCATCCAGCCGGCACCTTTGCCCATTGCTCCTCCATCATGCCCACACGGCGTACGCTCTATATAAGAGCCGCCCGCGCCGCGGCAACCTCCACAGTGCACACTCCACACACACACACACACACACACACAGCACAGCACGGCATAGTTAGCTGCATCTGCATCCGTCGTCCCCAGCGTCGTTCCTTTCCTTCCTTCGCCTCCAGCCCACCACACCGTCCAGGTCGCGTCTCCGTCGGTGCCTCGCCGGCCATCTCCATCTCCTCTTCATTCAGCAAGGCAGCTTCTGACGCGTCCCCGCTCCGCCGTCCCTTCATTATTCTCTGCATTGTGCGGCAGTGCGCGCGGTGATAGAATTAAACCGCCGGCGGAACAACAAGCAATAAATTAAGCAACAGCAGCGCGCGCGCGAGCTAGCGCCCATCGAAGAACGCCGTTCGTTCGTCGGAACAAGCTAGATGGTGAACACCAAGGGCGTCGAGCCGGTGCACCGCGCCGCCGGGCTGCCGCTGACGGCGCTGAACCACATCTCCGTGGTGTGCCGGTGCCTCGAGAGCTCCCTCCGCTTCTACCGCGACGTCCTTGGATTCGTCCCCATCCGCCGCCCGGGCTCCTTCGACTTCGACGGCGCATGGTAGGTACCATTGCAGTGCAGAGCATTCTTCTTCTCAATTCTGATGGCTTTGCCAAGCTAGCTGGTAGCTAACAATTGCATGGCGGCCTGCATGATCAACAATGTATTCATAATTCATTACTGCTACTGCACTACCGCAGGCTGTTCAACTACGGCATAGGCGTTCATCTTCTGCAAGCCGAGGACCCGGAGAGCATGCCCCCCAAGAAGACGGAGATCAACCCCAAGGACAACCACATCTCCTTCCAGGTATTAATAATGCCACCACGTCTCGTATATATATATATATATATATATATATATATATATATATATATATATACACACACACACACACATACATACAAATACTCTGATCTGAGGTACATGGTAAGACAAATTTTTGGAGAAGAAAAAAAAATTAAAGCCTCGGTGTCACAGTTGACACTGGGAATCAATCGAATTAATTAACCAGTAGCTTTATCTGCATGTTCCTGCCTTCATTTCCCTGCTGAGCGAGATCCACGACTGCTCCTCATCTGCTATATAGAATATAGTTATATATAATTAATCCGTTCCTCAAATTCGGATTGCTCCTCATCTGCGTCAGAACATATGTACAGCTGGTCCCTTCTCTTGTTGGAAAAATTGTCACAACAACAACTTCAATTAATTTGACAGCATCCCATTTCTCTAACACATCTGATTTAGCTACCAATTAGTTATGAAGTTCATCCTAAGATGGTGACTGAACTCACGAAGCATATGGAATACAGACAAGCCAATAAACGGTGGTGGTTGTAGAGGCTTTTCAGTAGCTAGCTAGTACTTAGGGCATCCCCAATGGCCAGCTCATAAGCTAGCTCTTATTATTTTTTTTTCATATTTCAATAGAAGAGAGAGAAAAACCAGCTCTTGATCAAGAGCTACGCTCATATACACATTCTAAGATCATGTGAGAGTGTCATGTGGGCCTAATCATACTATGAGTTATTGCTAAAAGCTAGCACTATTTGAGATGTTGGCTTATAGCTAATAACTAACTTATACCATTGCGGGTACCCTTAGCCACAGCTGCTCCAATTCCGCCCCCATTTTGACCTCACAATTTGCTGAAGTGGGGGCTCGATCTGATCTACATCTTAACTTAAGAAATGGATGCTGGTGGGTTCCCTGCATGATCAGTAATGATTAATCAGCCTGTTCGCTTGTTGGTTTCAGTCAGGGCTTATCAGCCAGTCAACAGTGTTTTCCTCTCACAACAAACCAGCACCAGTTGGACTTATCAGCCTAGAAACCAACCAGCGAACAGGCTTAATAACATAATAAAAGATAGGACTAGTAGTAGATCGAATTGATGAAGAATTCCTCTTGCTCTCTGGGTAGGATCATTGCATGTGCACACGGGGCATACCAATTCCGTTCCAAAACTCAACTCAGGCTGCATGAATAGTTGAATAGATATTTATATATATGTGCACCAACCCGCCAAGCTATACTTGACTGTGCTTGCATTGCATTGTCCTAAATGCATGTTGCGCAAGTGAACAAGAAAACCTTCACGCTCATCAGCTGTTTTGATAGGGACTGATGCGTTGTCTATTTGTCCGGATCTATCTAGAGTTACAGACATATGCATATGTACTAGGAGTATGTGCTATATATCTTAGACTTGCATCATTACCGTTAGGAATTTACTTAACACATTCATATGAGGTGACGGGATTTTACATGGATTTTGATGTGTGAAGCTTTTCTTTTTAAAAAATGGGACATGTGAATATGCCATGTGCAACCTCTTAGTGAGATAGCACTATGTAATCTTATTAAATTGCTTTGGTCAAACATTTGGAAGGAAAAAAATATGAATCGATCACTATATATGTGTACTCTTTAACTAGACACGTCCAATTAAGAAGGATAGTTCTGAGAAGACATATACACTCTCCTGCATGCTCTCTGGTCCTAGCTCAAGAAAATAAAGACAATCCGCTAGGCGACGATTTGGAAAGTTGGAGAAAGTGACAACAATAGATTTTTCCTAGAAAAATGACAATAGGTTATTGGTTTGTGTTACACATACGTAGAGTTTGTCTACACACACTCACACTCAGACAGCGTGGATACTGCGCTGGCTGGATCATGCGTATCTGAGACTCACATGCACATCTGGCAAGACCAAACGAACGTACGTATCTGCATGCATATGCATGTACGACTAGCCATAGGTTGTCGACAATAAAGTTAACCAGCATGCAGTATGTAAACGTGCTGCTAGGACTAGGATGCACGAGTGCTTCTTACCATGAATAAATTCATCTCTGACGCAAAGGTGAACTAATGATGTCCTTGCATGTATACGTGCAGTGCGAGAGCATGGAGGCGGTGCAGCGGCGGCTCAAGGAGCTGGGCATCCGGTACGTGCAGCTGCGCGTGGAGGAGAGCGGCATCTACGTGGACCAGCTCTTCTTCCACGACCCCGACGGCTTCATGGTCGAGGTCTGCACCTGCGACAACCTCCCCATCGTGCCCCTCGTCCCCGAGGGCCATGCCATCCTCGGCCTGCCGCAGCAGCCTGCAGCACCAGCCTGCAAGCGTCCAGCAGCCGCCCTCAGGCAGCTGCAAGCGCCAGCGCCGCAGCAGCCGCTTCCTGTTCCCGTGGCCGTCTTTCCAACCCCGGCAAAGGCCAGCGGCTGCGGCAGCTGCGTCGGCGAGGTCGAGCTCGAGGAAAGCATCCCCACTTGCGCGACGAGGTCTTGCCCGGAGCACGCGTGCGTGTAGCGGTGCGTGGGTCTGATTGATCCGTCGAGAGACCAAGATCGACCGGAACGCCGCGCCGGCATTTTGAAGATCCAATGGAGAATTTCGTTGCCTGGCATTGTTTCCCTTCAATTCGTCAACCTTGACGAAGCTGTATATGTGTACCGGGTGTGTCTTGTCCATTCGCTAATTAGTTTTGTTCGATTGTTGGAGTGCCTTGACGCGAACGAACTGTTGTAGCTGCAGGGGCTAGCTAGTGGGTAGTGGCCATCTGGTAGTGCCCATTGCTTGCACTGCAAAGCGCAAACTGGTGAGGAGATCGATCCACTGATCGCTCTACAGATACAGCACCTACCAACACTTCTGCACCTTACATATATATACACTCCATGATGTACTCTCTTTATAATTATAAGATATATATCCATGATTATCCATCCATATAAAACGCCAGCTGTGATACTTTTTATATGAAACGTCCAGCGGATTCAATAAAGGAGGGAGTTTAAACACATTTTATTTATAGGGACAGAACTTGACTACAGAGAATGATTTACAAAGGAGCAAAGGAACTAAGGAAGCCTCAAACAGGCACATGCATACCAAACACAAACAAATTGTAGTTCAGCTTGTTGGAATGATCTCGCATTGACGCTTTCCTCCTGCACCGCACCAAGGCCTAGCTTTTGGATGGGTTTAACTGGCTTTATGAGCCATTTAACTTAATTTAATTAATCCAAGGTTCATGTTTACTGTCAGAAGTTATGTGTTGTAATCCTGCAATAAAGAGGATTGATAGAACTAGAAGATCTTTCCTTTGCAAGGGTGCAGAAATAGCAAATGGTGGGCATTGTCTAGTTTGTTGGCCAAAGGCCACGAGACCAAAAAATACTAGGAGAGCTCTGCATTCTTGACTTGGAGTGCTTTGTTAGCGCGCACTACGCCTCATGTGGCTTTGGTATGCTTGGGTCGATCCAGATATATAGACCTTGGGTTGGTACCGAACCCCCATGTGGTTCGACGGACAAAGCGCTCTTATAAGCTTCAACAGTGGTAACAGCTAGGCGTGGTGACAAAGCATCCTTTTGGCACTCAACATGGCTAAAGAGTCAGGCACTGATTGACATTGCGTCTAACCTGTACTCGTTGGCACAAAGGAAAAATCAGAAAAGTGAAAGATGACATACTCAATCACAATTGGACGTGAGGCTTATGGCAGATGGAGACTGCAACAAATGGCAAAGTTCGCGTGCCTTTCGTACCTTGTCCATCTGGAACTCAATGAACAAGAAGATCAGATATTGTGGAGGTGGATAGAGGACGTCATCTCCACTTTAAAATCTGCATACCTGGCGCGATTCAAAGGATTCTTTTGTTCCATTAAGGCAAAGTCAATCTGGAGAGAACGTGCAGAAGGGAAATTAAAATTCTTTGCATGCTGCTAGTTCATTCAAAAGTACTAATGGCAGACGCTTGCTGTGAGAAATTAGCCTTGCAATCCCATTTGCCCGTTGGCGACCAAGAACCGGAGACAACATTGCATTTGTGCCAATTGTGCTTGTTTGCCAAGGAAGTATGGAACATCGTTAGGAGCTGGGCAGGGGAATGAATTCAAATAAATATGGATGCTAGAGTGGTGGCAGAAGTGACTTCAAGGACAGGATGCAACGAAACAGAGAACAACAACATCTATCCTCATGTACTCAACTTGGAACATTTGGAAAGAGCGCAATCAGAGAACCTTTGAGGGATCGATATGATCGCCACTGTAAGTGTTGGGACTAATCAAAGAAGATGGGACTCATGACAAGAGCTACCAGATTTTCTATAGTACCCCAAGGATCCTTAGTTATTGTGTATGTGCCCTTTCTTATATGTAATATAAGACTGTAAAACTCCATGTTTGTTCTTCTTCTTATCTGATATAGTTGTGCTCCTGCTAATTCCCCCACCCACCCAAAAAAAAAAATGGATTAGTGGGAAATTATAGATGGTGGGTCTCCCTAAAATACAAGCTCTTTTATATTTAGTGCGTATATATTGATGATGATTATTGAAGAGCATGAGAAAGCCATAGTTAGGAAGGAAGTATTTTATCATCTATTGTTTCATCATACATGCTCAAATAAAATGAAATCCAAAGTTTCTTTACAAAGTGCAGGCTCAAAACTAGATTTTATTTGAAGTTAAATTTAAATGCATTCAAAACAAGCTAAAGATTTTCACGATACTTGTACATCATTATTAGTATCCATGGACATTTTGAGTTTGTTGAATGCTTTTAAATTTCATTTGAAATAAAATCAAATTTTAAGCATGCGCTTTGTTAAGGAATTTTGAATTTCACTTAAGCACGTATACCGAGAAATTACATGAAAATATAGTTATTTTAAAGAACCATGAATTTAGATGTTTTATTATTTTTGAAAGACGTTTTGGGGCTAAATAGCTTATAAACAAAATTCAAATACAGCCATTTGGAAATAATTTTAATTTTAAAATTGTGAAAGCTATGATGTAAAATACAAGCAAAATGAATTGTGCTTTATTTTTAGTTTCTGTTTCGAAAATTACAAGATTTTTCAATGCCTCCATATCCTTTGTTTCGAATTGGGGAAAATAGAAATAGAAAAGCTACACGGAGAAATAGAAAAGCTACACGGTTTTGGAATTTCGTTTATTTGAAGAACAAGAACGACTTCATGTCTGTCTACCCAACAACCATGTATTTCAGCAAAAGGTAGCACATGGTTGTTTGCTAGCTGCAAAACACATGATTTGTAACAGAGAAAAAACCATGTGTTTCAGCCAAAGCTAGCACATGGTTGTTGGCTGCCTAAAAAACACACGAATTCCAACAGACAAAAAATCATGTGTTTTAGAAGAAGCTAGCACATTATTGTTGGCTGCCTAAAAAACACACAAATTACAACAGGAAAAAAAATCGTGTGTTTTTTAAGAAGCTAGCACACAAATTCCACCAGACAAAAAAGGCCCACGCAAAGCAAATCTAGATGCAATTTCTGTGCAGTTGAGAGTAAAATAGCAGAGCCCAACAACTACGGAGCCCATAATGAAAGCCCAAAAGCAGAAATCGATAGGAATATATCAGATATACTTGGGAAAGAAGAAAACAAAGAAAATAGATCTGCTTTGCGTGGAAAAGACTCTGCTCTGCTCAAGCGGAGCAGGGGAAAGGGGCAGAAATATGATTGCAAACAAGAACAACAGAAAATTTGAAGAACAAGCACTAGAAGTTTGATTCATACATCATCAGCCAAGATTAGTAGACCAATCTTTTGAATCCAACTTTCTGGTATTCCAATTTCTCTAAAGAAGCAAAAACAAAGAAATTAGCAGATCAGATAAGAAAGAACAGGAGAACCTAGATCCATGGAATATGTAATCATGAGACCTTACACATTTAGGATGGCTAACATGGCCTGCTGCTTGTGCTTGCTCCAACAGCTGGGTGTGGCCCTGGTTGCTAACTTTGCACAAGAAGCAGATCCAGCACTTGGGTGTTGTAATTGTGGTCTAAAGGCTACAAACAAGCCTATTTTAGATCCTGCTAATTTTCTGCATTGCATGACACAACAGATAGCATGAGATAAAAGTAGCGTGTATCAGCAATCCAACTATTTTAGATGCTGCTAGCTTTTGCAATTAGAGCACCCAACTATTTCAGATCCCGTTAGCTTTTGCAGAATCAAATTAAGTGTAATGCATTATATTGATGAAATTACAAAATACAAATATGAAAATTGCACATTTCAAATAGTGCAAATAGTATGTGTTCTTAATGCAATTAAACTATAAATGTATATCAATACATATACAGTATGGTGGAGCTCATGAATGTGTAAATAGAGAGAATGACAAACTGCTCAACAGCCACACAAGCAATCTTTGCTCCTTATTGAACAGCATAAACTAAAGCGGCATTCCCATATTCTCATTTGGGATCAGATCGAATAAATGGAAACAACAAGGGTAAATTATAAAGAATCAAAGCTTGATTCACAAAATAATACAAGCAGAATTCAATCAACCCCTAGACCAAGATGTTTTACTGAAAAACTGCCAAAACAGAAGAAGAGAAGAAGAACGGTATTGATCAGACAAGAAAATGAGGGACAAAAGACAGTTTACTAAACCTGCAGCTTACTAAATTACAGAAATGCAGCAGTGACAGCACAGAAGACATATGTGTGTTCACAAAAATCACAATAATATATGGTTTGTGCTAGCACAAATCACAAGTGACAAATATATGGTGTGTGCTAGCACAAATCACAAGAAAGTAAAGGGCCGACACTTGCAATTTACATTATAGCAGACAGGATATCAGCTAGCAGAAAAAACACAAAAAAACGAGGGAAACGGTTCAACAACAGCATATTGCATATTCTCAGAACTACAATTGCAATGCTAGACACTTGCAATTTACATTATAACAGACTGTAATTATGTAAATGAATCTTTCAGTTGTTTGGTTTACATATGCTCAGAAATAGTTCTTTGGTACTACTAAAGTGCTATGGAAAAGAACAAAAAAACAGATGAAATGAATGTGAGATTCAAAAGTCATACCTCATTTATCAAAAAATAAGTAGGCACTAACAAAAGGGGCAAGGCCAACACAAGCTTATAGCTCTTAAAGAATACATGAAAGTGGATAAAACACTACCAAATTTGAATCTACCAAAATTACAATGTATCAGTAGGATCCACGCAGCTCAATTTTGCTCCATATTAACATATTCACAAATCATAATTTTATAAAATTCATAATGTCATTAAGCAGGTCCTAGCAATTAACTCTTCCCAAGTTCTAGAATAGACATTAGTTTAGAGTTCTGGCAAACTCTTTTAGCTTACAAGAGTTAAGCATATTTAGTGTGGCTTGTGAACTGTTCACAGAGACACAACTACAAATTAACATTTAAAAAATTACATTACCAGGTAAAATTTACAAATTAACATTTAAAAAATTACATTACCAGGTAAAATTTAGTGTC